AGGACATAGGACATTTTGACTTTCAGCCAAGAAACTGGCTATATTTCTTTGGGGTCTTTTTACCCTAACTGCCTAGCCAATTCCTACCTCCTATTCTTATCACTCCATCCTCTGAAGGGGTTACCCAAATTGCCAATAGGGAATAGGGACACAGATGGTTCTGGCTTTTTCCATGCTGAACAGGGAGGGATGCAGCGTGAGGCCACTGGAATACCCTTTCAGTGGGTCCATCTAGAAGACTTTCAAATTGCATAACTCTTGTCTCTAAGGGGAGAATAAAGCCAGTCTTAACACTGAACCTTTAAATGTGCAGATGATAGCCAACTTTCTAGAATGATAGAAAGATTGTTCACAGCTATTTATTGTCAAGATAAGTGAGACAGAATGAAGGCAAGTTGCTTAGCTTTCAAGTCGCTGGCTGGCCTTGAGTTACAAGCCAGAAACGGGAACAGTGTGCTCAGTGTAGAGGGATACAGGACTAAAATAGACATTCCACAAATACATGTCGCAAAGGCTATAACAAGACATCACTTTAAACATGAAAAATAAATTGCATATAGCATAGCATGTAAAACATAATTATAATGTATGTCTGCTCTTTGCAAAAATTAATTTTAAACATGAATAGAGACCAGAGAATAAACCACGAAGAGCACCCACACCCAGAAAGCCACCCAGAAGCCTGTGGTGTGGGCTGGGGCTCGAGGGCAGAGACCCAAAAGAGCAGCAGAAAGCTCTCCGTGTTTTCATTTTTAAAGGACTCACAATTGTTTGATTTAAAATATATATTAAAAAATTAGCTGCAGGGACTATTTATAGTTACAGGAACTTTTCAGAGAGAACAACACAAAAGCGCTACAGAGCTACTGAAATTTTAAATAATTCTTTGTAAATGCCCTAGGTTAATTTAGATCCCTGAAAACACATTAGGAAATTAAGCTGTAATGTGAGCTAATTCAGATTTTAATTTGGCAAAAAGAATGATCCAACTACACAGTTAATGTAAATAGAAGCATAACACAGGGAAATTAATGAGGTTTCCTTCCAATGAGGTAGATAATTAGCTTCTTTTGTTATTATTGTAGAAGAATGTGGCATTGTCTATGAGGTGTAAAAGAACTGTGGCTTGCTAAGTGATAATGTGCTTCATTTGTCTTTTTAAAAAATAATTATTTATGTTAAACTCCTGTAGGATGAAACAGCAGCCCAGCCATTGAATCTTTCATCTCGACCTAAGACAGCGGAGCCTGTGAAGTCCCCGACGTCTCCCACCCAGAGCCTCTTCCCAGCCAGCAAAACCAGCCCCGTGAACCTGCCAAACAAGAGCAGCGTCCCCAGCCCCATCGGAGGAAGCTTGGGAAGAGGATCCTCTTTAGGTAAATGGAAACATCCAGGAAGAAACTGACCGACTAGAGAAAAGAAACCAAACCTGGCCAGCAATGGCTGACCTCAGAAAAAGTGGCCGTCTTCTTTCCTACAGCAAGGAAGCCAGTTTAGCATCTTGGGTGACTGGCCTACTAGGATGCATTCTCTCAAGGATGACTAGATCCTGGCCCTCAGGCATCTAGGAATGTCCAGGTTTTGCCCTAAATAATTCTCTAAGAGGTTCAAGACCTGGCCTCATAGTTCGTTATCTGCGAAAAGTATAAAGTTTCTTTGAAAAGTAAATTTTTTTTAAACGTACTTGAAATGTAGATTTTATATTTTATCCATGTTAGTTTTAGTAAGACAAACATGGATGTTACAGTTTAATAGCATTCAGAAAAGAACACCGATACCTTGGGATTGGCATGATGTGCCTCTTCCTTCCTGACTCTGATGTGGATTCTCACGATCCCTATTGCTTCTCACATCCCTGTGTGTAAGGTCTGGAGGGAAAGTGTGATTTTGGAAGGGGGCATGCATGAACTGAGAGCCTTTACTTGTTAGCTATGACCCTGGAGTTGTTTAATATTTTTTTAATGTAGGTTCCTGGACTCTGAAAGGGGATAATATTTCCTGCCTCATAGTTTTGATATGAGCCTAGAAGCAAACAGTACATATGACCTGCCCTGCATGGTGTCCAGGATCTCAAAGATCTTAATTTTGAAAGACTAGGATAGATGAATCCCAGCACTGCCACGTTCTTAGGTAGATTAAAACAGTATTTACGATAGTGCCAGTTAGCAGAAATGTTCCTAAAAATGCTAACACTATTATTGTTAATACTTTCCATATCTCTTAATTTCCAAATAAGGACAAAACAATTCAAACAGATTAGGGATTAGTCCTTACATTTTTACCATGTTACCTTCATTGTATTATTGAATCATGGAGCATATTGCTTCTTATGAGCCTAAATTCTTATAATGAATAAAATAATATATAGGTAGAGCCATTACAGTTTTAAAACCAGTCTTGCCTACTTTATCTCACTTGATTTATTTTACAATTTTATGATTTTGGGCAGTTTTGTTCTTATACGCAGAATGACCCCCAGACCCAAGTTGCCAACTCACAGGGCCAGGACCAGCATCCAAGTACAAGTCTTTGCTCGAGTTTTAGGAAACATGCTTGAAGACTGGCTGAACTGTGCTACGTGTGAGGTGTAGATTTTCCTTAGTGACACTTGTGACATTAGGATCTGGACAGTAGCCTGTTCTTATTTTCAGTAGCATGCCTCTCATGTAGCTTTTTGTGCTAAGTCAGGGGTAGCTAGGGAGAGAAGAGAAATGATTCATGCCCACCAGGTAAATAGGAACAATATCTTTTAGCTTGAGTTTCTGGAAGTTGCTAGATGAGAGAAAGGAGAGCTAACAGAAAAATAAATAATAAGCTTGCTTCTTGAAATGGCCCTTCTGTAATCCACTTCTGTGTTTGGTTTGGAAAGTATTTGTTCACTGTGCTGTACACCGAGAGGGACAGAGACCCAGACCCTGCTTCCTGGAGCTTACACTTCAGCAAAAGCCAGATGGGCTGCGGTACTAACACCTGCTATTGGGCAGCAAATTTGTCCAGATAATATTGCACAGAGTAGTCCTTTGACCTGAGAAACTTCAAAAAATATCCTATAAAGTTACTGAATTTTTTTTTCTTTTTTGATTTTCTTTTTTTAGACAGCGTCCCCCAGTAGCCCCAGCTGAGTGGCCTTGATCTCACAGAGATCCACCTGCCTCTGCCTTCTGGATGCTGAGATTAAAAGTGTGGGCCACCATACCTGGCCCTAAAGTCCCTGAGTTTTAAAAATATTTTCATAGACAGTCTTAGGACATTTTTTTCCAACTCACATGAATATACACATGCATTGCACACATGAGGCATGTGATGTGAGCTTCACAATAGTCTAGTTTCCTGTGTCCCTTCTGTCTGTGTGAGGTATATACATATGTGTGTATGCACATGGACATACGTGAGTATATGATGAAATACATCAGGCCTCAAGTAGATCATGTCAAACATGCCACAGTATCTGAAATCTATCAATCATTGAATAATTTCCCTCCTTTTGTCTAAAACTGTAAAAACTGATCCAAAGTATATTCACTTAAACTGAGTAGAATGCATGATGTAGAGGAAAATTAGTTTCTGTTTGAATCCTCACCTCCCCAACACACACACAAGTTACAAGGGATACAATGGAGGGGAATGCTTAGTCTTACTTCATTTGAGGATTTGTGCTCATGTGAAAGCCACGGCAACACACACTGCCTGACTGTCTGGACGGGGCTGAGAGCAGCGGGTGCCCGAGCTGGGGGTGGGGAATGGATTGTCATTCTCCTGGTAAATAACTGAGGCAGCGTGATGGGGAGAATGCTTCATTAACCAGCCAGCACTCAGAGAGTGGAGAGCATGGTGTGTTCCTTTCCACCCCTTACTCCTGCAGTGGGCACACAGCACACCATACCGATGTCACCAAACTGCACATGTTCCCTCACAGGTCCTCTTCTACTAAACCTCAAGCAGCCTCCTGCGTAAAACACCCAGTGCAACAGGGAGCTTGGCCAGCCATCTCAGCCTCCTCTCTGCCCATCCTCCCTCTCTTTCCCCATCCCCTGCAGATCAGCAAGATTGTACATAAATAACAGACACACAGAGGGCAGTTTCTTCCCCTAATAGATGCAGAATTGGAATCTAGGAGCACTGATGCTGTAGACACAAGCAGAGCAGATACTTTCCCCAGTAGGTCCAAGGTTAGAATCTGGGAGTAATCATCTGCGAGAAGGTAGGTAGACAATCTACATAGGCTGGAGCGCTGAGTTACCTTCTAAGGGCTCCCAAACCAGTGCATCATAGTTGTTGTGGCTTTCTGTGGTCTGTGCCTTGTGTTGCAGTTTTCATAATGACAAATGAGTCCTTTCATATTCAGAGAATACAGTATTCTACAGGGAAGTGGATCATAGCAGTAGTTCAGGGACGCCAGCCTCACAGACCTCTAATATTTCCCTGTGTGTAGATATCCTCTCCAGTCTCAACTCCCCTGCCCTGTTTGGGGACCAGGACACAGTGATGAAAGCCATTCAGGAGGCTCGGAAGATGCGAGAACAGATCCAGCGGGAGCAGCAGCAGCAGCCGCCACACGGAGTCGATGGGAAACTGTCCTCCATGAACAGCATGGGGCTCAGCAACTGCAGGAATGAGAAGGTAACCTCCGTCTCCTCACTGGGTCCCTGGGCCCGCTGGCTCACTCTTATCCCGCTCTCTTGAGGCTTTCAAGTACAAACATGCAGCTAAACTGGGCTTCCAGCTTGAGGGCCGCCTTGTACTTCATTCAACTTTGTTTTGTGTCACAACTTACTGCTGGTTGGCACATAGTGTGATTGCCTGCTTGGCTCTTGACCTCCTGCCTACTGGTGTCTCTTGGTCGCTTTCTGCAACTTTTAGAAGTTTCTCATAATTAAGGTATAAATGACATTATCAGGATGGAAATAAAATATAAGAACATTTGAAGGAAGTACATATGCTCATGGTGATGGCTAAGTGATGCTGAAGCCCACCAAGGTGACAGTTAAGTGATCATGTAGCTCACGATGGTGACAGTTAAGAGATGTAGCTCACCATGGTGATGGCTAAGTGATATTGTAGCTCACCATGGTGACGGTTAAGTGATGTAGCTCACCATGGTAATGGTTAAGTCATACTGTGGCTCACCATTAAATTTAATGCCGTACTTCCCATCAAACAGAGCCAAAAAAGAAAGAAGCAAGGTGATCATTAAATGCATTCAATTATTTGTTTGATTCAGTAAATCATTTATCTAGTGCCTGTTCTGTCATAGACTCTTCCAAGCACTGGAGATATGGAAGTGCACAAGTCTGGCAGGAATGCCTGCATTCCTAGAGCTCACATCCTAGTAGGAGACACAGAGGATGAAGAAACAGACGAATATGTATGCAATGACAGTGGCTGGGTAGGAGGAAACAGAAGCTAGTCAAGGCAACAGGCACCTAGAGAACTGCTGTTTTAGAAGTGACAGTAAGGACTCTGAGGATGTGACATTAAGTACAGACCCAGATGAAGGCATGGCCTGGCTGCAGGCGGGGCTGGAGGAAGGTGCCCCAAGCAGCAGGAGGTGGAGGTGACCAGGCCAGCTGCATAGCCAGAGTATCACAAGAGAAGAACAATGGGGTCCCGGGTAGAAGTCCTAACCTGGCCAGTGTGCTCTGGAAGGTCTTCATTCTATCCTGTGAATCTCTGCCCTCGTTCCCCAGGACATGAACTAGTATAAAGACCATTCAGACTCCTGGGGACAGATGGAAACAGGGGCGGGGAGTGGCTGAGAGGGGATGATACCTGATAGACTTAATCGTTCATTTTATAGACATTTTATAAATAATTTCCCAGTGCTAAATTGTGAGAAAACTTGTTTATTTTTAAATATGGACCACTGCATGCAATAGAGGAATACTGCAATGGATAATGGTAATAGTTTTAAAGTAGGTGCTAAAAATACTTTATTCACAGGTGTTTATTCAGTAAACTAAGAGTCTAAGCTACTAAAGTCAGGCCACGTTTCCCCTTTGTGGCTGTCCTTGCTAGTTGCCGTAGGGCGCTAGGGGAGAGACTCAGTACAACAGAGTAAAATCCGCAGTTCCTCAGTTCCCAGCAAGGTTTTTAGGTTTACTTGTGAAGACCTTGGAAGTCTGTGGTGCTGTTTGCTCTTTTCTGTGCTTTCTGATCAAGCTGTGAGGTGTGACCCTCTGAAGTGTGGGCTGTTCATTTCCTAAGGCTGCTGTAAGGAGTGACGGCCTACACACTGAGCAGGAATGTGTGGTTCTAGAGGCCAGTCCACAGTCAAGGGGTTCCAGACCAAGCTTTCTCGGAGGCTTTGGGGAACCTTCTCCCTGCCTACTCTAGGCTTCTGATTATTGTATGAACCCAAATTTCCGCCTATCTTCCCTGCATACTTCTCTTGGTGTATCTGCATTTAGGGCCCATTTAACCCATTGTGATCTTGCTTGAACTTGATGTCATCTATAAAAAGCTCTTATTTCAAAAGCTCTATTACAAAAAAATGTATGTACCAATTGCATTTACTGGTACACACAGTTAAGACATATCTGTTCAGGACACAATTTATTCCTTTAAAAGGGATACAGAACTGTTGTTCATTCCATCAACCTTTTAACCTTACTCTTATATTCTTGGGCTATGCTAGGAGATAGCTAGGATGCAGAGGGGAATGGGGCTGGTACAGGTTGGAAGTGCAACAAGATTTTCCAAGCATGTATGGGATTAAAGCACTCACATTAACTAAGAAGTTTAGTTCATAAAGGTTTGATTTACCCTCAGTTCTCACTGCATTGCCACTGACCTTAGCATCCTATACTTGTGTTCCCTTGAGTCCTCTGAACATCAACTTACATCCCCATTTTTTGATAAACTTAAGGACCTGCTTGTCCTTGAGAGCCTCAAGTACCCAGGCCACACAGACCTTTCATTCACACACACATACATGCATGCGCACATGTGTGCACACACACACACACACGAGGGGGCATTCTTCTGGTACCTGCTAAGTTGTATACTTTGAATACTTGGAATTAATATACATGCCAATCATTGGTTCTGCTCAACACCTGAATGTCTCATTTTTCAGTGTCACATTCCATTTTGGAGCCTTAATAGTCTAGGGCTTACAGACAGAGCCTACTCTTGAAGAGCTGCCTGAGCAGATTTTATATACAGAATGTCGTTTCAGGACCACAGGACAGGAAAAGCTTTGCCCCATGCATCTCAGCTACTCTGATATTAGAGAGAACCATAGAGCTGTGGGATTCTCACCTATAGTCTTCTACTCCGGGGAAACTCATTCAAATAATATCACAATGGATCTTAACGTGAATAACACGTAAGATCCTTTTTGGTGTCATGGGTATTGAAATATGGATGCCGAATGAGAAGTTGTGTTAGAAGAGAACAGGGCCAAGACTGGAGAGATGGCTCAGTGGTTAAGAGCACTGGCTGCTTTTGCAGAGGACCCAGGTTCGATTCCCAGCACCCACATGGCAGCTAACAACCATCTGTAACTCCAGTTCCAGGGAATCCAATGCCCTCTTCTGACCTCCACGGGCATTGCATGACACAGGTGCACCTCCCTACATGCAGACAACATACTCATACACATAAAAAAGTAATATCAAAATATTTTTTATAAAAGAGAGCAGGGGCAACTCCTATATTCCAATTTCACAGAGTTAATCCTAAAGTTACTTTGAGAAATAGGACACCGATTTTTTTTGTTTAGTCTCTTAATTTGTTTTAATTTACTAGCTTTCAAGTGAAAATCATATTCTTAAAGAAAATTCTAGTGACAGAGATATATGGGGAGAAGCCTAATCATCCTCTTTTCCCCCGTTAGCTAGTATTACTTAAACATTTCATCTAACATTTCAACAGTCACTAATGGTGCAGGGTTATTTGTAGTGGAGACAAAGGAGTATTAATGAGTTCAGTGTACATTTCTCACTTGGAGCAGTAGTCACTAGGTTGTTGATAAGCAGTGTGACATTTGGCAAGTTGATTAACACTGAACCTCAAGTTATTCATCTTTAAAACGAGAAAGTTTGGGGTTATGATAAATAGATCTGCGCACACATGGCTCACTTCCTACTTAGAGTAACCACTGCTTTATCTTGTTTCTCATGCTGTAAAACGAATTACTTCTCAGCTTGGGATGTAGAGAGCAGGAGATAGGTCTCAAGGCTCCCACTGGGTGCCCGAAGCTCCTTGCTAAAGCTTCTATGACAAATTCAATAAACTGGCTTAAACAACATTTTTTTTATAGTTCTGAAAGCCAGAAGCCCAAGATCAGGCTGCCAGCATGGTCCAGCTCTGGTGAGGGCCTTTGTGGTTTGTAGATGGCTACTATCTTGGTGTGTCCTCATGTGGGGGAGACAGTCCCAGAGACTCATCTTCTCAGAAGGCCACTAAATCTGTCCCTGGAACCCCACCCAATGATTTTATCTAATCTTAATGAAAGAGGCCACTTCCTGTCATCATTGCACTGGGGATTAGGGCTTCAACATGATTTTAAGAGGACAGAGGAATTCAGTACATTCTACCATATACAGCGTTTTCCATCATCTGTTGGGGCTGAAGGTCAGATGTGAATGCTGTACATTTCAAATTCGACAGAGTAATTCGAAGTGTTTCTCATTAACTTTTCTTCACTTTGGAGGAAGAGATCTAAGGCTGAGGCACGAGAGAAAAATGAGAAACGGGGTTAACTGTGAATACTAATAAATTATACCCCAAAATGTTATGCTGAAGAGTTCTGGGTCCCTGAAGGTAAGCCTCAGCATGGTTCCCCCAAAGCCAGGAAGAACTGGGTCCCTGAAGGTAAGCCGCAACATGGTTCTCACCGAGCCAGGAAGCTGTGGTTTCCTAGATGGAAGGAGATGTTATCTCAGTAGATAACTTTCCTGGGTTGAATTCAGGCCGCCAAAGTAATCCATTCTCTTTAGGGATGTTGGGATTATCAGCTCTTCTTAAGATGGTCTCCCCCTGAGGAATGCCACTGGTTTGACATGGTTTGTGTGATTGTTTGGTGTCTAGAGGGCATTTCTATCCTTGTCAGTTTATCTTAGTTTCAGTTAAAAGAATGGGTGAAAAACACCACTTATGGAGCCCTCAGATGGGAGCTCTGATCCTCTTAGGATTCAAATGTCCATCTTAATTTCATAACTCTCCTTCAATAAGGATGTGTCATTTTTCTTCTGTGGATTAGATTTTCTTTAGAGGCAAAAGGGCAGGTATATAATATGCATGCAGTAAGACTCGGAAGTAGATCGGGACAGATCCAATTCACCTGTCTTCAAAATTGTCCACCTTGGTAAATTAGATTTACGAATTTATTCTTTGTAACCCACAACATAGTTTTAACTCAGTTTTCACAGTGTTACTGTCATAAAAGTTTATAACTTATGAATGCATTTTTTCTTTCTCTTGTTTGAACATTCCTTACAAAAGAGCATGGCATATGCCTGGGTTCCCCAGAAAGCAGACCAGTAGATGGATGTTAGTAGCAGATTTTGGGGGGAGGTGCCCTCCCCAGATTGTCACCAGTAGAAGGGACAGGGTTAAAAAAAAGAAAACAGGACTGGATAGAGGAAGAGGTTGCACTGTGATTCCCCCAGCAACTC